AATTAAGAAATTTCCAATTTTTTTTCGTCATTTAACAATTTATCTCAGGCCAATGAGGCAATATCATTTAATAAATTCAAAATCAATCAACTCAATCATGCGCAAATCATACCGAGGTCGTACGGCCCGATCCAACATATAAAAATAAATTGTGTACTGTCGAGGGTCGAACGGCACAAATCATAGATGTATCTAGTTAATCTGTCGAGGCGAACGGCCCGCTCCCATGAGAGTAGTGGAAATTTACCCCGCTCACGGAGTATAATTGCGACGCGGTTACACATAGATTTCTTAAGTTATTATAATATTAATTATTTCTTTTAGAAAATACGAAGTTCAAATGAAAACTTTTAAATCTTAAATTCCTCAATTTCAATTCTTTTCAAGACAATTAATACGCAACTTCTATCTTGTTTCTTCTCAAGGCAAACAATAACCATAAACCAAATAACAATATCAACAAGGTATGATGTAAACCTAAAACTACCCGGACATAAGCGTAGCTAGTAGATACGTACGGACTCTTGTCACCTCGTGCGTACGTAGCCTCCACAAATAGAAGCACATATTGATTTAGTTCACCTATGGGGTTAATTCCCTCTTGCAAGGTTAGAAAGGAGACTTACCTCACTCCAAAGTTCCATAGCCGGCTCCCAAGCCTTCCAAACAACTCAAATCGATGTCCAACGCTCTAAACTAGTTAATAAATGAGCAATTCCATAAATATATACTCTAATAGTCATTATAATCCTATTTACTACAATTTCCAACTCCGTTCGAAAAGTCGATAAAAATCACCTTCAATCCCACGTGCCCGGATTTCGAAAAAAATTTAAGATAAACTTTACCCATAACCCCACGAACTCAAATATATAACTTATTTCAAATTTCATGCCCAATTTCGTGGTCAAAATCCATAAATACAAATTTCTAGGTTTTTCTTCAAAATTCCAACTTTTCTACAAATTTTAATGTCCAAATCCATATATAATCCAAGTATTTAACTTGCAATAGGTGGGAATCACTTACCTTGACATAGATGATGAAGATGGAGCTCCAAAATTGCTCCAAGACCGGCTCTCATGGGGGAAATGAAGTGAAAATGAGCCAAACCCTCGTTTTAAAGAAACATACTGCCTAGCCCGACCTTCGCACCTGCGGTGCATTAGCCGGTTCTGCAGCTTCGCACCTGCGAAAATTCCATCGCAGGTGCGGCTCCAGCTCGACCCAACAGTTCTCGCATCTGTGCCCCATGTAGCGCATCTGCGCTGGCGCTTCTACTGTCATAATGCACTTCTGCGCTCGGCGCACCTACGCGTTTGTGCCCGCTTCTGCGGCCCAGGCCTTTTGGCCAACCTCCGCTTTTGTGCCTGCCTTGTCATTTTTGTGGCATCGCACCTGCGACCCTTTTTGTGCAGGTGTGATTACACCAGAACTCAGGCCCTTCAGCAACTCAACAAAGCTCCAAATTGATCCGTTGACCATCCGAAACTACCCCGAGGCCCCCGGGACCTCAACTAAACCTACCGACAACTCCCAAAACACATTACGAATTTAGTCAAGCCTTCAAATCACATCAAACAATATCGAAATCACGAATCGCAACCCAATTCAAGCTTAATGAACTTTAGAACTTCAAACTTCTACATTCGATGCTGAAACCTATCAAATCACGTCCGATTGACCTCAAATTTTGCACACAAGTCACATTCGACATTACGGACCTACTCCAACTTCCATAATCGGAATCCGACCCGATATCAAAAAGTCCACTTCCGGTCAAACTTCTCAAAAACCTTCAAATTTCTAACTTTCGCGAAATGACCCCAAAATAACCTACGAGCTTCCGAATCCACTTCCGGACGTGCTCCCAGTACCAGAATCACCATATGAAGCTATTCCCAGACTCAGAATCCCAAACGGATATCGATAACATTGAAATGCACTTCAACCCAAATTTATGAAATTCTTCCAAAATGCTAACTTCCACAATAGGTGCCGAAACGCTCCCGGGTCATCCAAAACCCGATCTAGACATACGCCCAAGTCCAAAATCATCATACGAACCTGTTGGAACCTTCAAATCCCGATTTCGAGGCCGTTTACTCAAAAATTCAACCTTAGTCAATTCTTCCAACTTAAAGCTTCCGAAATGAGAATTTTCTTCCCAAATCAATTCCGAACTTCCCAAAATTCAATTCCGACCACACGTACAAGTCATAATGCTTGAAGTGAAGCTACTCATAGCCTCAAACTGCCGAACAACATGCTAGAGCTCAAAACGACTGGACGGGTCATTACAGTGGTAATAGCTTTCTGCTTGCTTTTATTTTTCTGGTTTTTATAGCAAATTTCAAGATGAGTTGTTGTTGAGACTGTTTTAGTTTATTGTGCTTTCTGAACATGTTTTTTCCTACTTTTCCCTTCTGTATTTCCTTTATGCTTCTGTTGTTTATGCTTGATTCTTGCTACTAGTTCGCTATTAAGGCCCCATTTGTTCATTAAAAAAAATCAAAAAAGAAATTAAAAATATGTTTGTTTATGAAATTTTGTAAATTTGAAAAAAATGAATTTTTCAAATTCAAATTTTTTTGTTTCCCCACTCATAAAACAACAATATTTTTCAAGTGAAATGCATGTTCAAACATAATTTCAAATTCTAAATATCATTTTTCAACTTAACTCCAAATACTATATTTTTTCAAAGAAATTATAATTGTTATATCCAAACGCCTACTAAGTTTGCCTTTTGCTTGTTCGTGTAAATTGTTAATCTTTGAATGACTCTTAAGTCTTAACCAACCTGATCCAAATTGAAATAGTAGTCATCCGAAACCTAGGAAAAGCCAGAAAACCCTCTTTTGTTTTTTAACCTTGTATTCTATCCTTTCTTTTGTCAATGTAACTAAACAAATTTGAAATAGACCATCAATTTTAACTATCCCCAATATATTCTTTAAAGAAAAGGGAAATTACCAGTTATGTCCATTTATAGGTAGCTCATTATAAAAATTGGTCAATTGATAAAATATTACTAATATTAGCCAAATTAGCCAATTTGCTATTTGTAGCAAAAAAAATTAAATTTTTGCTTTGTTTTGAGTGGGTGTTATTAGAATAGATTGGGCACAACTTAAGCAGCTTGAATCTCAGTTTTTGGATAATTTGGTGAAGTTTTGAGGTGATTTAAATTGAAAATTTGGTAAAAACTGAACATGAAATCACACTGTGTATCACATATGTATCATATTTGTATGTATTGTGTATCACATGTATATCCATGTATACATGTGTGTGAGATACATGTTTGATACATGTGTCGCAGAAGACTTTTTTGAACTCGATTCAATTACGAATTTTGATACAAAACCAGTCCAAATCACCTCCAATCTTCCTCAAATTTTGTATATTGACTTATCTATATATTTTCAATGAATTTCAACTATACCCATTAAAAAGTTCCTTTTTTGTTTAGATTTTTGGAATATTGTATATATTTTTTGTATTTCATCACCTTGTTTGCTACCTCATCCATAAAATTTCCTTTTTGTCTTGTATCTAGTGTTGCTAATCACGGTTAAAAATATGGAAGGTGATTTTTGCACGTGATTCTTTGAGAGAAAGAACCCTATTATTTGGTTTTTCAATTTTTGTTGGCTAGTTTTGGTAAGTCTATGATTAATAGCTAGAGGTTGGTAAGTTGAGATTTATTTGGGACATTTGTGTAAGTTTCCCTTAAGAAAAACAATTAATAGCATGTTTGGCCAAGTTTTTTTTGGGCCAAAAGTACTTTTGGCCAAAAATTGAGGTGTTTAGCCAAGCTTTTGGAAGGAAAAAAAAAAGTGTTTTTGAGGAGAAGCAGAAGCGGTTTTGGAGAAGCAGAAAAAAATAGCTTCTCTCCAAAAGCACTTTTCTGAGAAGCACTTTTAAGAAAAATACACTTAGAAGCAGTTTTTAAAAACTTGGCCAAACACTAATTACTGCTCAAAAGTGTTTTTCTAATTAATTAGTCAAACACAAACTAGTTCTCATCAAAAGCACTTTTTTTAAAAGTACTTTTGAGAAAAATACTTCTCAAAATAAGCTGAGTTTTAGAAGTTTGGCCAAACGGGTTATAAGTGTACCTTAGCTAAAGCAAGTTCCACCTGGGTTTTTACAATCATGGATTGCACTGTCCTAGGAAATGGGGCAACACACCACTTCTAATACAATTTTCAAAACATCCCCGATCTAAAATATAATTTATCTAGACAAATTAAATTTATTTTAAAAAAGAAGAATTCATTTACGTAGTACTCACTTCGGTCCACTGTAATAAACTTTTTTGTTATTTTTATATATATTAATAAATTTACCTTTATAATTAATTAACAACTAAAATGACCATATTAACCTTAATTATTCATTGAAAATATTAAAAATACTCTTAGATTCTTTTCTCCAAGGGCAACTATGATTTTCCGTATGAGTGTGTTCGTAGGTGCCTTGAAAAAAAAGAAATTAATTCCTTCTTTTTTCTTTTTGGTCAAATATCAAAGCTTTTATTCAACCAGTAAAAGATAATTACAGCACCTCTAACTCCTTTGGACTAAAGAATTAGACCCCAAAAATAGCAAAATATCATAAATTAATTCCTTCTTAATATCTAAAAAATCAAATATTATGGACCACAAAAAAAGGACAAAAAATCAATTAAAATGGACAGGGGAGCAGTACTACTTTATCCCCATTCCATATTCTTTCAATTAGTAAAGTATTACTCCCTCCGGTCCACAATAAGTGACCAATTTATTTTTTTATTTGGGTCCAAAATAAGTGTCCATTTATATAATCAAGAAAAAATTTAATTTATTTTTACAAAATTACCCTTATGTACATATCCCTAAAAAAAATTTACTCCTCACATTAAATATTTATTTAAGGGTAGATTAGTCATATCAGGTATTTTTATATAGAATTTTTTATTTTTTTAATAGGCGTGCCAAAAGCAAATTGGTAAGTTATCGTGGACCGAAGTAAGTAATTAATAGATAAATAAAGTTAGTTACACAAATCTAAGCCTTCACAACCTCCCAAAAGGCAAGAGTAGATAACATAAACAACAGAAAACCAAAATAAATACACTTTGGTCTATGTTAGGCTTACTTAAGCAGCCTTCGCTGTACAAGCCAAACGAAGAAGACCAGCAATAAGATCTGCATCAGCTTCACTTATTTTCTCTCTAAATTCTCTGCCATGGCTTCTCTCATCAGTTGTTATGTTCCATTTTTCTCCCATTTGAACTCTAAGTTTTTTCATGGCCTCCCTTCTTCCAATGTGATCTGTCATCCTGCAATTTGAATAGAAGAAATAATCTTATAAGCCAATGAGATTTAGGACGTGTTCTGTAGATTCAACTGAATAGAGTTATGGTGGAGTGGTAAGTACTCCTTCATCCTTAATCAGAGGTCTCGGGTTCAAATCCCTGGATATGGAATCATCTTTGTTAGGGAGCGCTTTACCTTCAATGTGGTACTTTTCGACGCGAATCTGAATTTAATTGGGCCCCAATATGAATACCGAACATCGGATGGGAAATTAAAAAAAAAAACAGAGACATATGTTCAACTGAATCCAATAATTTAGACACGGGACATTGTTATATAGTGAAAACTACTAAAATTCTAACAAATATTGTATTGCGAACTCATAAATTCAAAAATAAAATACGATCAATGGTACAACAACAACAACAAACTCAATGTAATCCCATAATTGAGTTTTGGGAAAGGTAATGTGTATGCAGACTTTACTCTTATCTCGTGAAAATAAAGACGTCGTTTTTGGTAAACCCTCGCTCAAGAAAAAGTGAAAATAAAGTAACAAACAATTGAAACAACAAGATAATAGGGTAAACGAAACACACAATAACAAACCAAGAATAAAAAATAAAAAATAAGATCAACGCTAGCTAAAAACTTTAAAGATCAAACACATCAAATTTAAATCCTGGATCCGACTTGCGCATTTGAGAACATTAATTTCATACTGAACTATGTATACAGATACATATACGAAAAAAAATAAAAAAATAAAATGTGTGCATACTCTTTAGAGAGAGGAAGTGGACGCATGATCCCTGCAAGGCATACCGGAAACCCACTGTTTGCCATTTTTCTTGAGAAAAAAAAAACACAAGGTTTCTGGAGAGAGAATAGGAAAAATGTTCCTGGATCTTTCTTAAATCTTAACTTCGATTTTGGTATTATTCTCAGGGGGTGTAATGTGATAGAGAAAGAACGAAAGAAAAGAAGAGAAGAGACAGAGAGAAGGTGAAGCATTAAAAGCAGATATAAAGAACCTTTCATTTTCTTTACATAAAGGAGTGGGCATAATAAAACAGATAAAATCAGTTAATACTTGTTTCATGCTTTGTCGTTTTCTATCAACTAGTATACGTACTCGCGCGACGCGCAGATTGTTTCAAAGAAAAAAAATGATATAGTAGAAACATGTCTTTATTATAGACTAAATTTAGCGATCTCATTCAAAAGAATTAAATCAAAAAACAAATATATGAATTTCATGGGATTGTATCTATGCGAGGAACCACCAATATCTATGCACAAAAACATGATTAGCAAAGAAGGTTGGATAACCGTAATAAGCCAAAAGGTCAAGTAGATTTCCAAAAATTCACTTCCAGTTCATATACACATCGTCCATAGTTGAAGGAAAGTAAAATAATGATACAAAATCTCAACCAATAATCAAACATATATTGATAGTAGATATAAAATAATCGAGAGTTTTGTTATAGTCAATTTGGATAAACACCAAATCCAAGAGAACATACGTGCGATAGAAGGCAGCGTTCAATTTTTACTATTAATTACAGCATTTCTAAACCAAATTAGCAATTTCTATGTAAATTTGGATAGCTTAGTTGTTACAACATACTGGAGTAATGCTACAGAAGTACTTGGCTTTAAAAAGGATAAGTTCACCTGAAAAAGCAGAAATTTGTCTCAAGTTATTATCAGAAAAAACAAAGAACAGTTATACATATGTGTAATTCACAGTAAGTAAGACATCACATTTTGTTGTGGTGTACTTTGGATCAGAAGTATATGAGAACATGAGCAAATTAGTCATGTTGGTTGATGATATAAACGATGACTCATATGGATAACTAAGATCTTGGAAATACTCAATCCTTGTTAGCATAATCTATATAACATTTTTAAGTCTTACATGAAATGCATACATTAAAAATATTAATTCTCATCAAGATTTTATGTCACTTACAGACGTAACAGTAATGTTGTTGCAATCGAAAACACCTTCATCAGAAGCTACATATTCCTTTATACCTGAGGCAAAGTTCTTTGTTGCACACTTAAGGTAACTTTTCTTACCTATAAAAACAAATGTATGTTGCAGACTATTAGATGAAATAATAAGTAGAAAATTTGGTACTCTTAGTTAAATAAAAGAATGTGAAATGTTAGAAGATTTTACGAACAATATGTTGCCTTTATTGCTCCAGGTGAATCCACCCTCAACCACACATATATAGTTGCATAAAAAGATGGCAACACTTATTACAATCATTCTAACGACTATCGCTGCTGAAAGTCCACCAATACAAACAACTATCTACATCATAAACATCTCGACTGAATTTATACAACAAAGATATTTCTTTGAGCTGTGAAAATAAAATAAAAATACATTTATCAGCCTTTCGGCTTTGATCAAGTGAGGAAGAGATGGGGTTTTGCTTAACTCGCAAGCCCACGCCTTTTCATCTTTGCACCCCCACCCACC